TGACTGACATCGAATATAAATGACAGTACCCACACTGTCATTTTCCCTTCGATGCCAGAATGTGACTGACATCGAATATAAATGACAGTACCCACACTGTCATTTTCCCTTCGATGCCAGAATGTGACTGACATCGAATATAAATGACAGTACCCACACTGTCATTTTCTTTTTGATGCCAGAACGTGACAGACATCGAAATCAATAAAATTACCATAACCCAAGGAGACCGCCTTCGAACTCTCCGCATCAGCCACTAGGTCTTTGGCGAAGATAGGAAACACCCGATCGTAACCCGTAATTATGACTGTCCATAAACGCAGGGCGAAAGTAGTTTATTAACAGCTTACGTTGCAGATTTCGGTTGACGAGGCGAGGAGGCGATGGAGGCATGCGTTGCAGAGTGGTGTTTTTTGTTTTTTTTTCTTTTTTTCTTTTTTTTGGGGGTGGTAGGGGTGGGGGGAAGAGAAGGGGAAAGGGGGGAAGGGGGAAGGGGGAGGTGGTCGGGTCCTTTGTAGAGAGGGATGCTAATGGCCGTGTGATGGCGGTAGAGACGAGGGAGATATTGGCTATAACGGCGTTGTCGACCGCACTGACAGGACGCGATGGCGGTCAGTTTCCTTCAGGAGAGATTGTTCCCGATGCTGCATTGGGTATTATGTTATTTTATAATCGTGTTTTTCCTTCTTATTCCTCTTCAGCATCATCATCTTCTTCTTTTTCTTTTTCTTCTTCTTCTTCTTTTTCTTCTTTTACTTCTTCTTCATCTTCTTCTTTTTCTTATTCTTCTTCATCATCATCATCATCTTCTTCTCCTCCTTTTTCTTATTCTTCTTCATCATCATCATCATCATCTTCTTCTCCTCCTTTCTTCCTCTTCTTCTTCTCCGTTTCTCTAATAAAAAATAAAAAAAATATGCAAATACTCTTTCACATACCATTTCATAGATTAATTAACTTATTCCAATTTATAAGTTTCGTGTTATTTTACAAACAAAATCATTACTCCTGATCATAATCTCATTTTTCTCAAAATAAACCCAAAAGTTTTATCTTGCAAAATAAAAAAAATAAAAAATATATTATCACAGCAATCTCTATAGAAGCTAGACTGCGCACGTGTCTAAAAATCTATGTATATACATGCATAAAATAGCTATAAACTGATTTTTCTGCACTAAAGACACGATCAATGGTGACCATATGCTATTCGGAGTGGCATATTATTCCTATGTAAATAAAGAAGAAAAAAAATCATTATTATCTCTCTCTCTCTCTCCTTTTTAGTCCATGTTTTTGTTTTCCTCCGTCTTTCATCTTCTAATTCCTCTCTATCCCTCTTATTCTATCTCTCCCTTTCTCGCTTTTATTCATATTTCCATTACGTATTTTTCTCTTTTTCTTTCTTTTTCTTTCTCTTTGAACCTACAAATCCCTTTCCCATTTTCTCACTTTCCATTTTCTTTTCTTCTTCCTCATCCTCTTTCTCCTCTCGGATTTTCTGTCTTTATTATTCCTCTATTCACTGGGGTCACTCTAAGCCGCTTCGGATATTCCTTTATTGACCTCTCTCTCTATCTATCTATCTCTCTATCTATCTGGCTATCTATCTGTCTGTCTGTCTATTTTTTTCTCTTATTCTCTTTCTCTTTCTCTTTTTTCTTTCTCTTTTTTTCTGTCTCTCTTCTCTCTTTGCTTCTCTCTCTTTCTCTCTCTCTCTCTCTCTCTCTCTCTCTCTCTCTCTCTCTCTCTCTCTCTCTCTCTCTCTCTCTCTATCTCTCTATCTATCTATTTCTCTGGCGCTCTCTCTCTCTCTCTCTCTCTCTCTCTCTCTCTCTCTCTCTCTCTCTCTCTCTCTCTCTCCCTCTCTCTCTCTCTCTCTCTCTCTCTCTTTCTCTTTCTCTCTCTCTCTCTCTCTCTCTCTCTCTCTTTCTCTCTTTCTCTCTCTCTCTTTTTCTCTCTCTCTTTCTCTTTCTCTCTCTCTCTCTCTCTCTCTCTCTCTCTCTCTCTCTCTCTCTCTCTCTCTCTCTCTTTAACACTCCCCTTTTTAACCCATAAACCCCCGTTTTTTTGTCCACTAAAACTTCCTTTCACACAATTTTCCTCTCCTTTTATCTCTTTCTGGCCACTCCCCCTCCTCTCCTTCCTCCCTCCCTGTCTATTTTCCCTTCCTCGTCTTCCCTCCCCTCCCCACTTCCCCTCTTTTCCTACCCCCTACCCCCTCCTCCCCCCTTTCTTCTTTTCCTCCCCTCTTCCCCTCCTCCCCTTTCTGCCATCTCCCGCCTCCTCCTTCTCCCCTCCCCTCCCCTCTTCCCCTCTCTTCCTACCCACTATCCCCTTCCCCCCCTTTCTTCTTTTCCTCCCCTCTTCCCCTCCT